GGATGGAAGGACAGAATAAGAATGGTATAGAAGGTTAGTAGAGAAGGAGACTAAAGAAGGAGACAGAGGAAGGACAGCGATAAGTAAAACAAAAATCAGAACAAGTATTTCGATGATAACATGTAGAAATTAGTCGGTTCAATGTAGGTAAAAAGAGTAAGAATAATGAGATAAAACATAAAGAAGAAAGAGACACTTATTATAACAACCACGACCATGATTATAACAACCACGACCATGATTATAGCAACCACGACTATGATTATAACGACCACGACCAACCACGACCATGATTATAACAACCACGACTATGATTATAACAACCACGACCTTAATTATAACAACCACGCCCATGATTATAACAACCACGACCATGATTATAACAGCCACGACTATGATCATAACCACGGCAATGATTATAACACCCACGACCATGATTATAAAAACAGCGACCGTGATTATAACACCCACGACCATGATTATAACAACGACGACTATGATTATAACGACGACGACCAACCACGACCATGATTATAACAACCACGACTATGATTATAACAACCACGACCTTAATTATAACAACCACGACCATGATTATAACAACCACAACCATGATTATAACAGCCACGACTATGATCATAACCACGGCAATGATTATAACACCCACGACCATGATTATAACAAGTACGACCATGATTATAGCAATTACGACCATGAGTATAAAAAAAAAAGATTATAACAACCACGACTATGATCATACCACGACAATGATTATAACCCACGACTATGATTATAACAACCACGACCATGATTATAACAACCACGACCATGATTATAACAACCACGAATATGATTATAACAACCACAACCATGATTATAACACCCATGACCATGATTATAACAACCACAACTATGATTATAACAACCACGACCATGAGTATAACAACCACAATTATGATTATAACAACCACGACCATGATTATAAAAACCGCGACCGTGATTATAACACCCACGACCATGATTATAACAACCACGACTATGATTGTAACAACCACGACCATGATTATAACAACCACAACTATGATTATAACAACCACGACCATGATTATAAAAACTGCGACCGTGATTATAACAACGACGACTACTATTATAACACCCATGACCATGATTATAACAACCACAACTATGATTATAACAACCACAACCATGATCACCCATGACCATGATTATAACAACCACAACTATGATTATAACAACCACGACCTTGATTATAAAAACCGCGACCATGATTATAACACCCACGACCATGATTATAACAACCACGACTATGATTGTAACAACCACGACCATGATTATAACAACCACGACCATGATTATAACAATCACGACTATGATTATAACAACCCCGACCATGATTATAACACTTACGACCATGATTATCTCATATACTATAGGAATAGCAATGTGTCTGTGTGTGTGTCTGTTCTGGGAAGCCGAACCTGCACAATCGTTTATCATCAAACTTGGTGGAAAAATCGCAAAAAATTCGTAGAGTGGAACAAACCTGGTCCCATGTCGATGGTTTCTTTAGGAAGGCATTAATTAACCATTTTATTTATGCTGGAAAATGATGTCGCTGTACGCTGTCAGTCTGCCGCCGATAGCGCGGGAGCCAAGCACGAGCGTTCGAATTTTCACGCTTTGGTAAATTGTACCACTGGACTCGCCACCGGGCACGAAGGGCCCACGATCGCTTGTTGTAGATATAAACCGGGACAAGTGTCAATATTCATAACCAAAGCAAGATGAATAAATGCATTGCTCAGTAACCTGGCTAGGTTCAGTTCGGTTAGGTTAGGTTTCTTTCTGTTCTTTTTACCCCACATATCCCCCTGATTAGTAATGTTAAGAAAAGACTTTCCTTTATTAATACATTAAAATCATAATGCACTCACCATTGATTCAATTGTATTGAAAATACAGCAAATAGGTTTCCTAAAGAAAAACACTCAAAATAAAGAAGCGTCAACGTTCTTTGTTTTTTCCCGCATGATCTTCATGTGACCTATACACGAAAGTGTTGTAACATATTAACATAACTCATTCAGTAACCAAAATCATTCTTACCTGGAAACTATTCTTTGCGCAGAATCTCAAAGTAATCATCAGCATGTAGGGAGAGAGATAGGGTATATCAAGCTATGAAACTCCTCTATCATTACTTCTAGGAATCGTTCTTAGGCTATTCTTCATAGGGCCAAGCGGAATTTTATGAAAAGAAAGACGGCTGTCCTGACTAATTCTTCATCTAGTAAATCATCTGGTCTTTAACCAAAAACATCTGTAATAACTTCTGCATTCCCTCTATTCCTCCTCTCTTCCGACCTGATAACTCTATAGCCAATTCTCCCCCAGATAAAGCCAATCTCTTTGGCACCTTATTCTCCTCTAACTCAACCTTAGACGATTCCACCTCTATCCCTCCAACCCCTGCTCCTCCTACTGAACCTATGCACTTTCCTAAATCTCCACTCGTAGGGTTGCTGTTGTGCTATCCAGGTTGGATGTGAGTCAGGCGCATAGACCGGACGGTATACCCCGTCGTGTTTTGAGGGAATGTGCTGAAGTTCTGGCCCCTGTGCATGCTCGCCTCTTTCGCCTTAGTCTCAAAACCCAAACTTTTCCTTCTTCTTGGAAGCATGCCTTGGTCCAGTCCATCCCGACAAAGGGTGACCATTCTAATCCCTCTAACTATCGCCCCATTGCCCTAACTTCATCCCTTTCCAAGATTTTCGAAACTATCTTGAACTTCCACTTTCTCCGTCACCTTGAACGTCATTCTCTTTTGTCGGATAACCAGAATGGCTTTAGCCAGGCGAGATCTACTGGTGATCTGATCTTCTCCTGCACCCATCCTCTCTTAGGGATTATGGGGAAACTTTCGTCGTGGCCCTCAACATCTCCAAAGCATTTGACTGGATAGGGGAGCAAATATATGCTTTCTCGACTTCCCTCTTATGGTTTGTCTCCAACCACTTTCTTCTCTAATCTCTAGCTTCCTTGAGAACCGTTCCATGGCAGTTGTTGTCAAGGGATCGATTTGTCGCTCTTTCTCTACCATGAGTGGAGTCCCACAGGGTTATATTCTTTCACATACTTTCTTCCTTCATTTTATCAATGATTTACTTCACACTACGACCAATTCTATCCATTCTTATGCTGATGATTCTACTTTTCACTCTTCTTCACATTTTCCCCTTCTCCCTTACTCCCAAAGTAGAGTTGTTTCTGGTGCTGATATCATTACAGCTATCAATTCGGATTTGTGCAGCATCTCCGAATGGGGAGATAAATACTTGGTTAAATTCGATAGTAATTAAACTCAGTATTTACCAATGACACTTTCCAAATTAGATGATATCTCATCAATCACATTTCAAGACGACATCATTCTGCCAAGTTGTAAAATAGAAATGCTAGGCCTCACCATTTCCTCTAATATATCATGGAAGCCACACATCCTCAACATTGCTAAATCTGCCTCCCGAAAGCTGGGAATGCTGTACAGATGCCGTAGCTACTTCTCTCCTGAGCAGTTGCTTCAAGTATATAAGGGATTCATTCGTCCTAACTTGGAGTACTGCTCTCATATCTGGGGTGGCTCTTCTTCTTTCCAACTGTTAGATAGGGTGGAATCAAAGGTATTTCCTCTTATTAACTCTCCTCCTTTAGTTGATAATCTTTCTTCCCTTTCTCTTCACCAGAATGTTGCTTCACTCTCTCTTTTTACAGCTACTTTAACGGGCAATGTTCAGTGGGCTAGGCATCCTGTGTACCGCCGGCAAGGCCGTGGGCTCGTAACACACGTCTTGCCCGTGGTGCCCACCGTTTTTCTGTGGATGTCTGTCACACTAGAATAACCCGTTAGAGTACATCCTTCTTTCCTCACACAGCCAAACTGTGGAATGCTCTGCCTTCTTCTGTGTTTCCACACTCATACAATCTGTCTCCCTTTAAAAAGCTGGTTTTCCGGCATCTTCGTGGTGTAGATTAATTTAACCTTTTTCTTTTCTATTTCTAATTTCTTTTTCCTCTTATTTTTTTCGCCCCCTAGACCCCGTTGTGGGTCGATGACCTGTGGCCGGGTGGGCTATTCCCCGTAAAAAAAGAAGAAAAAAAAACCTGAAGAATGCGAGGTAAAGGTTGAACCACAGCCAACAGGTCTGTCAAGTAGATGTTCCATATCAGGGAAAATTTCAAGGAAACCTCCCTTACTGAACCTATATCGTTGTCTGAATTGCATATCATCGTAAAAATTGATAGGATTTTGCCTATCCACCATCAGTCTTCTCTCTACAAAATTTCCAATTTGATGATATCGCCGAAAAGCGCGCTCTCTGTTAAAATTCATGTTGACTTGCTATCTTGAATGACGGATCAACTGCTAAACCTGCCTCCAGTCTGGATTAACGCTCGGATCGACAAATCCGATCTCAAACCCGGTTTGAATCTTTGTGTTGGCTCAAGCCAGCGTTCTGAATACCAATAATCGTCAATCTTTGCTCGATCCTTGGATTAAACTTTCTTGCGGTTTCAACCCATCTTTCTGAATTCGGGCCAAGGTGTTAGGAGAGACACAGTTAGGACCAGCTGAGACAGCGTTAGGGGTCTTGAAAGGCTGAAGTTTGTCGTTAAAATTCTAAATGAAATTTAGAATTTTCAGAGAATAAAATAACAGTAGATCTATACTTTACTAAATAACTATATCAAGATAAATGTAGGACATATCATCCTAACGAGATTACATTAAGTATATTAATTTAATGTCGTAGTTTTAGAAGTATAGTTTCTAGTCCCATTAAATATATAGTTGAAAGTAATGAATTATGGGAAGATAATTCTTGGTATTTTGCGCTATTATAAACCAAAACCAGTTTTATTGCTGTAAATACTATAACCCACGTGTTTAAAAGAGCTATTGTGTTGGTATGGTTGTGCAGAAGGCGGAGAGCAACACCGCCCTGGGACGACTGAGGCACCAGATGCTGCCCTACCCTCCCAACGAGTTAAGCAACTTCATCTCCAAAATCATTCAAGGCGTGCACCCCGGGGCTGGTCCAAATATTGCAATCATGGCAATTATGCATCGCGTCTTCTCCAATGTGAGTAAAGTTCTTGTTAAGGGCTTACAGAAATACTGAGAAGATAAATTGTAGGACTTTCAGTCACGGACAAAAGTTCGTTCCCTTTAGTGAAACGGAGCCACGGGATTGAATCTCCGAAATTACTTACCCTGCTGCTTCTTTTTGGGAGGGAGCAAACCTTTGACCCATATTATACGTAATTTTATCCTTTACTGAATGATACAGAATTCATACTCTTGGCTGATTCTTCACTCACAACTGAAAGTCATTAATATCGGTCTGTTGACTTATCAAAATCATTAGCAGTACAGCGAACAATCATTTAATCTTATAGCCTTCATAGATAACGAATACACTAAACGTGTACAATAGTATTGAACATAAGTAATTACCGTAGGGTTTATCTCTAAGTAACATTAATTTATCTTTTTAACAGACCTCTAAGAGTGTGAAATTATATTTTTCAGTAAATTTTCATTTAATTTATCTTTCACAAATATCATTAAAATTTGTGTTACTTTCCAAATACTCAAAATCTTTCACCTGTCTAACTTCTTTGTTATGTGCCATAATTTTAGATTTTTCTTCTAAAGTTGAAACAACTATTAATGCCATACTTACAGCCTTACAGCCTTAACACAGTTCAGTTCTAGTCACCGTACTACAGAATGGATATAGAATCCCTACAAAATAATAAGAGGAGAATGACAGGACTAATCCCGGGCATTAGGAGCCTTGAGTACAGAGACAAATTAAAGCATCATAATTTACACTCCCTCGAAAAACGTAGAGTGAAAGGGCAATATGATCGAGGTGTATAAGGAAATCAGGGCTAAACAAGGTGACATTAACAAAGGTTCTCAAACTATCCAAAGAGGAGCGAACTCGTAGAGATGGTTTTAAATAAGACAAATTTAGATTTAGGTGCGAGAGTTAAACATTGGTTTGGAAGTAGAGTAGTGGATGAGTGGAACAAGTTACCAAACATCATCATTAACTCGGATATGCTGGATAGCTTCAAACATAGGTTAAATGGATATATGAGCAATAGGGTTCGGGTGTAAAAGGGACTACCCATTTAATAGGCCCGCTGCAGTTTCCTCCATTCTTATATTCTTAATATAATTCAAGTTTGTCCAGTTCTGTTTTTTTTTTTTTTAATAAATTTTCACTCTCTGCAATAGATTCAATATTATCAGCACACAAAATATGGGGAAACTTTCGTCGTGGCCCGCGACATCTAAAAGGCATTCGACAGGGTATGGCCTAAGTCTTTGCTATCTAAACTTCCCTCTTTTGGTTTCTCTCCCCCACTTTGTTTTCTCATCTCTAGCTTCCTGAGAACCGATCCATGGCAGTTGTTGTCGAGGAATCGATCTCTCGCTCTTTTTCTATCAGTAGTGGTGTCCCACAGGGTTGTTCTTTCACCTACTCTCTTCCTTCTTTTTATCAATGATTTACTTCACACTACAACTAATTCTATCCATTCTTACGCTGATGATTCTACTCTACACTCTTCACATTTTCCCCTTATCTCCTAACTCTCTAACTAGATCCGTTTCTAGAACTGATATCATTACTTCTATCTATGCGGATCTGTGCAGCATCTCTGAATGGGGAGGTAAAAATTTGGTTAAGTTAAATAGTAATAAAACTCAATATTTACCAATTACACTTTGTAAATTAGACGATCTCCCACCAATTACATTTCAGGACGCATCATCTTGCCAAATGCTGATATAAATAAATTAGGCCTCACAATTTCCCCCAATCTGTCCAGGAAATCACACATCCTTAATATAGTTAAAGCTGCCTCCCGAAAGTTGGGAATGCTGTACAGATGCCGTAGCTACTTCACTCCTGAGCAGTTGCTCCAAGTATACAAGGGATTCATTCGTACTAACTTGAAGTACTGCTCTCATATCTGGGGTGGCTCTTCTTCTGTCCAACTATTAGATAGGGTAGAATCAAAGGCATTTCGTCTTATTAACTCTCCTCCTTTAGTCGACAATCTCTCTTCCCTTTCTCTTCCCCGTAATGTTGCTTCACTCTCTTTTACAGGTACTTTAACAGGCAATGTTCGGTGGATTTGACATCCTGTGTACCACCAGCAAGGCCGTGGGCTCATAATACACGTCTTGCCCATGGTGCCCACCGTTTCTCTGTGGATGTCGATCACACGAGAATAACCGGTTATAGTACCTCCTTCTTTCCTCACACAGCCAAATTGTGGAATGCTCTGCCTTCTTCTGTGTTTCCATACGTATACAATCTGTCTCACTTTAAAAACCTGGTTGTCCGGCATCTTCGTGGTGTAGATTAATTTAACCTTTTTCTTTTTTATTTCTAATTTCTTTTTCCTCTTATTTTTTTCGCCCCCTAGACCCCGTTGTGGGTCGTTTGACCTGTGCCCGGGTGGACTAAATCCCGCAAAAAAATTAACAAAAAAACATGATATACATATATATAATATATATTTATATATATATATATATATATATATATATATATATATATATATATATATATATATATATATACATATATATCATTCAACACCTTAACCCGCCAGGATTCGAACCCACAGCCCACAAGCCCATGAGTGTGACCGGGGAACGCTACCTCTGGACAACCAGAACACTAAAAGCAGTCCTAGACTTTGTTATATTTCACACAAAGCCTGTTCAACGAGCTTATGGCGCCGTGAACCTCTAATGGGGACTACCCGTATCACGTAGGTGGTCAGAGTAACGTTTTACCAAATCCGGCTTCGAGGCTGGTTGAGGTGTTGATTGTATGTAGAAGTCTGCGTGCTTTATTGGGCTAATGAAATATATATATATATATATATATATATATATATATATATATATATATATATATATATATATATATATATATATATATATATATATATATATATGTGTATATATATATATGCAAGTAAATCACTGTAGTGCGCGTGATCTAGGTATATGCTGATAACCACAAGGAAAAGACAACAAGAAGTTCCCAAGCGCCTTTGTAATTCACATCTTCAGGAGTGAGTACAGACTGTACTCACCCTGAAGTGTGAAGATTCTTCTTTCCTTGTGGTTATATATATATATATATATATATATATATATATATATATATATATATATATATATATATATATATATATATATATATATATATATATATATATATATATGTGATATCCAGAAATTTCAGAGTAATTTCAAATGCCCCGCCATGAGTGATACTGAGCGTTCAAGGTCATCTGAGGGGAGGGAGCGCTGCCTGCTCGTAGCGAGAGATTGCGGAACTAGGCCTATATGATATTAAATGTGATTTACCGAATTAATAATGATGCGATTCATGAAGTTAAGGGACTATTATTGAATTTGAAATTATTATAGATCGTTTAGCAGTCTGAATAATGTTACGGGTGTCCCAAGGAGTTATTAGTTAGGCGGTAAATATATCACGTAGGCCCAAGCTAGCGCCTTGGGGAGACGCGATGCTGGCTAGGCCCAGTCCCGGAGAGCATTCACACAGACAAGACGTTCCGCGCGTCCATCAGAAATAGTCACGTGGCCTAGTCACCTGTGCTGCGCTATTGCAGTATAACAAGGTTTCCGTCAGAACCCACTTGATTGGAGTTGACCGGAGTTGATTGGAGTTGACCGGAGTTGACTGCGAGAGCTTGACTGCCGTTTGAGACTGCCGTTGATGATTGAGGGTGGCGATTGTCGCCATTGGACCGATCAGTGTAGGCCTGTCACTGTTTAGCGGGGTAGCAAAGGATCTCTTGAGTGAACGAGTGCTCCCGACAATTAAAACGACACGGGACCAGCATCAGCAGTGGGTGATCAGTTCTTACCACTCCGGTGCACAACCCCACATGTCCCGAGCAGCTAGTGAAACCCTCTTGCTAACGGGAAACTAAAGTCTCTCAACTGCACAAGGTCTGATTGGCTCACTCTCTTCCTGCCCATGGACGCACTGGGAGTACACTGAGGCTATCTGAGTATATTAATGGTCACACACTGAGACCGTGAGTCTAGGACTCTAGGAGATACCTAGAGGAACATTTTACCTTCCTTATTACGGGTGTAGTTAACACCACTCCTCAGACTGATATTATCTTGACGTGTGTAGTTTAATATTTCTTAAATAATTTTGATAGCAGTGTTTTTTTGAATGTTTGTGCCATTAAGTGGAACCAGAGTGATACTGTGATTTGATTCTTTTAATGCCTCTAATTGTTCTTCATAATTCTGATCTCAGGTATAACCTTGTTCCCCAGAGTAGTGGTTAGGTTAGGTTAGGAAGTGTACATCTGTTGAGGTGCTAAAATTTTGTTGAGTGCCCTTAAGGCCTATTCATTGTAGAGTATTTAATTTCTTAAATTTTATTACCATTTCCTCAGTGACTGATATTATTTTGTTGAAAACCCTTAAGGCCTATTCATTGTGGAGTATTTAATTTCTTATTTTTAGTACCATTTCCTAAGTGACTGATATTATTTTGTGAAAGCCCTTAAGGCCTGTTCATGTGTGCAATTAACATTTCTTAATACTTCAAATTTATTGTTGCCTGTGTTTCTAATAATTTCTATGTCATTTATAACTTTTATTCCCCAGAGTAGTGTTTTAAGTTTAAGTTAAGAGGTGCGCATATTGGTGTACCATTATTTGATTGTGTTTGTAGTGTTGGAGGGAATATAAGTGTCTAAATTTTACAGTGTGTCTCATTCATCCCAGTCACAGACGCTATCCTTCCACGGGTCACGGACAATTCATTTTGTGTAGTAGATTTAAGTGTTCTTGTGCTGGTTCGGGATTTTTCTCAAAGGGGCGCTTCCACTGCCATTACCATCTATTAATTTTTAATAAACCCCAAGTCAAGTGAGAAATTAAAGTCCAGCAAATTCCGACCGGTTACATATATATATATATATATATATATATATATATATATATATATATATATATATATATATATATATATATATATATATATATATATAT